GTTTTTTATATGTGTATGCAGATAGCATGGCAAGAAGAGGTCAATCATCACGTGGGGGAGGCCATGGTGATATGCCATGGTAAGCCTTTCAACAAATCACCTCCAAATCCTCCAAAACTCGAGCCCTAAACAGGCTGGAAGCACTTCGACAGAAAGAAATCCACTTACCGAATGCAGTGGATTGGGGATGGATGGGCAATGTTGGCTTCGAAGAGGAACTCATCCCATATTTGGTGAAAGATTGTAACTTGGGTTATGCCAACATCACTTGTGATGGTTGGTTGCAATTGTTCAAAATCCAAGAGCCAGTATACGCGGAGTTGTGCTGGGAATTCTTTGCTACCATTTCATTCCGAGGTGGTAGTGAGTTTTACAATCCTAACACGATCTCGTTTTCTTTGGGTGGGGAGCTGCGACAATGCAGCATGGTTGAGTTCTCTTGGCGGTTGGGCATCTACGATCAAGACATGGCGATGACGGATTACTTTGAAGCCTTCTTGGAGAATACCTACAAAGAACTTCCCGAGGAGGTGGTGGCATCGACATGGTGGAGTACAATTGCTAACCGAGTCTACATACCTTCCACTGCTCAAGAAGGTCATATCCGTTCTCCGATCCACCGACTCATTCACCGGTTCGTTGCAAGCACGATCAACATGCGGAAGGATGGGGACAAAGTTCCCACCCTTGATATCTTTTACTTGTGGAGTATCATCACTCCCGACGTCTTCTGCAACCTTCCGTACTGCATTGCTAAATTTCTTGCGGAGGGGGCGGTCAAGGAGAAGATAAACTCGAAGATAAATGGGGGCATGTTCATTACTCGGCTTGCGAAATCATTTGGGATCTTGGATTTGCCGCAAGCTCAAGCACTAACGATTATCCACCCTCCTCCGTTCAATACTGCACTTTATAGGAGGGCTCGGATAGTTGAAAATTTTGGTGATTCCTTTACTATCCCGAATGAGGATGAGCCGGCGGTCCCCGAGGAGCCGGGAAGGCGGGTTAGGCCAAGGAGCGAGCGGGTACGGGAAGACCCACCAGTTATTCCGGTGGAGGATAACGAGGGTTGGAACCAAGTGGAGTACCGACACTACTTGGATGATATTGGGCGAGGGGTTAATTACACCAATCAATCCTTCGAGTATCTTTTCCAACAAATGCACATTGCCCCGCGACCTGGACCCGGCTACCCTTATATTATGGATTGGGATGAGAGGATGCGAAGAAGGGGTGGAGAAGGAGGTAGTCGAGATGGAGGAGCCGGAATGGAAGAGGAAGATTGAAGATTTTATTTTGTTTTGTTTTGTTTTGTTTATGATGTTTGTTTTAAGACAATTGTGGACATGTTGGATTTGGCTATGTGGTTGAAATATTATTGTTACTTTTAGTTTTCTTTTCAGGTATTGAAGCTAGGAAGCATGCTAATTAGGAAGGGTCAAGAGAGGAATGAGAGTCTTTATGAGTGATTATGGAGTCTTGTTCCTACGATTGAGTCCGTACGAGTCAAGAGTCTTATGGAGTGTTGCTGCTTAGGAAATTCACGTGAGAGTACATTTATATTTCCATGTCAACACCAAAGTAAAGAGAGACAGCGGTTCAAAGAATTCTGGAAATATAAGCCCTACTCGCCGAGTGCACTAACACTACTCGGCGAGTACATCTGTTTTTACACGAACTGCTTTGCCATCGAGTTCTACTCGCCGAGTTTGCTCACCTACTTGCCGAGTAGCCTGCTGCAGGAGGAGTTTCTGATTTGCTCTGGCTAATTTTTCTGCACCATTCATATACTCTTTATGAATTACTACTGAAGATTGTTCAACAACCTTTTTCCTTGGAGTTTTTCGAGCTATTAACCACACGAGACGTATGACGCCCGTGCCATGGATGAGCTGTTTCCATGGTTAAAGTCACTAGAAGAAGGAGTTGAAGAAGAGAGTGTCAACCTAGCGACTGCTACCCCAGGGGAGTTTGTTCCAACTTTCTCTCTATTTGCATTTTTAGTTGGTATAATATGCAATAAGGGCATTGCATAAAATAAGTGTGGGGTAGGGGGTTAGTCACATCTTAGAACACCTAGAATCTTAATTTAGGCTAATTTTTAAAAAATTGTTGCATACCAAAAATTCTTAGGTCTTAAATTAGAAAATTTTGGTAAAAAATTAGGATTCCATATTAGAATTGTGTTAATAATTGCATGAAAACCCAAATGTTTAGTTGAGCCTATATACGTTCTAGTGCATTTGTGGCTTCCTTATTTTAGTGAAATCATGAGACAAAAACACGACCTTGCTCAGCCTGAGGGATGCAATATGTTTAGCAGCCTAAACCTGAAATGTATCCAGGAAAGTTTTTATCATTAGCCAATAAAGGTTGAGATTGAGCGCCCCTGCTTAAGCATGTAGGGATTTGAGTGAGTAAGGAAAAAAAATTGAGAAATACATGAAAAAAAAGAGAAGAATTACTAGAAAAAGTTATGGGAATTTTGGAGCAAATGAAGTGGAGATCTAAAGATCAAAATTCCAAGAAATCCAAAAAGTTGAAGTTATCAAAAGTCAATACAAGTTGGTGAATTCAAAGATATCAAAGATCAAATGTCAAGAAAATGAAGAATTCAAAGAGCTCCATAGTGGTATCGAAAAGCTGTAATTCTAGAATATGTGTGCTTGGGTTGCTCAATTAAAAATACCTTGAGGGTTAAGAGATTTTCTGAGGATGGATTCAGAGGGTTGCATAAAATGAGCATAGTTTGAGGTAAGTGGGCGAATGTTTATGAGGATTGTGAGTATTTGAAATATGGGGGGTTTTTAGGAAATTTTAGACACAAATGCATGCGTTGCGGTCTTGGCATAATGGCTGGGTTGGATTGGAGTTATTACATGTGATTTTAATATGTTTAAAATTTAGTTTTGCTTGGGGGCAAGCAAAAGTCAAGTGTGGGGTATTTTGATATGTGCATAATTAGTTAATTATTTAGCATATATTCTTAGTTATTTTTGATTAATTATGTGAATAATGTGGACAAAAGGTACTTAAAATGTTGTGAATTTTGTTTTCAGTCCAAAAGATATGCTTGGAAGCAAAAAGGAGAAAAGGAAAGCAATTGAAGATTAAAGAGTGAAAGAAGGTGATATACTCGGCGAGTAGATCGACCCTACTCGGCGAGTACACGAGGATATTCCAGAAGATAAATACGGCTGCTGATTCAAGACGGATAAGTATGGATCTACTCGGCGAGTTGATTCTGCTACTCGCCGAGTACACCCTGTTTTGGGATATCTATAAAAGACGAATCCTTATCTCATAGGAAGGGACTCCTGGCGATTTTTGAAGGATTAGCTGCGACTAAGAGATTCAGAAGGCGCTAAGGAACCCTAGGCTTCAATAGTTGGAAGAATTCAAGCAATTAGGTTAATTCTACCACTTAGACTTAGGAATTGAACATGTTTGCTTTAGTAAACTTTGTTTTTATGTTTGTTTCTACTACAATTATGAGCTAAATTCGTTTTTGTTTCTGTTTGGGGAATACCAAAGAACTCCTATGGTTTAATTATTGATTCTTGCTTAATTGTCTATTGGTGATTTATTAAATTAAGTTTGTTAAAGAACCTTATGTATTAATCACTACTATTTTTTGTTAATTGGAAGGCAATTAGGTTGCATGAACATCACTTAATTGTTAACCTCGTATGTCTATGTGAATGCTAAACGATATGCTTAGAAGTAATGATTATGAAACTAAGATTAATAAGAAAATAGGAAGATTAATGTGTGAGCTTGTTTGAGAAACCATCAACAAGTTGGGCCCATACCTCTACATGGTCAAATTATTAATAAAAAGTAGGGATAAAACTAGTTGAATTAACACACATCACCCAACATATGACCCAATTTTCCAAGTTGGGCCCATACCTCTACATGGTCTTTCCTTAAGACCTAATCATTTATTCTAGTCCAAACTCTTGGTATTCCTATAGCCCACTATCACATAGTCATCAAGGCCCAGTTATGGCCCACCTAGGGCCCAATTTTCCAAATTGGGCCTAAGTCCTTCACATGGGCCTTATCCTAAAGCTAATCCAATTATTTTGGTCCATTTACTTATTCGGATAGCCCATTAATAGTCCAATCGTCACAGCACAATAGTAACGCCCAAGTGAAATTAAGGTTTTCACATGAAATGACGATTAGGATTAAGTGTTCTTACTTAACACATTAAGGACTTAATCCATTAAGGACTTACTCCATTAAGTCCAATATTTCCTTAGGTTAATAAGAAAATGATTATTAATTAACATTTTTAATTTAGCAATTAATTCAAGTGCGGGTCCTAATAAATCCCCAAAACTAGGGTTTCATGACATTATTGTTTTCCAAACCCTAATTTGGGTTTCCAACCTAATATTAGATCATTAGTAACATGATTGGGCTTTTAGGTCAATTCGGGCTTCATTGGGCCGATTAGGGTTTTATTAGGCCCATTATGGTTACATTCATCGGGCACCACCCACTACCACCTCGGGTAGTGGTGGTCAACGGTGGCTCACAGCGGCGGCCACCACGTCGTTGTAGTGGTTAGGGTTCTAGTCCAATCGTGTCCAAGTACTCCAAAAGCAATCCAAACACAAGTAAGCATACCACCACCCCACTCGATGGTTGGCGGCAGCAGCAACCACCCTATGGTGGTGGTTTTTTGAGTTTTTATTTTGATTATATCTACCCTATTACAGTTTTACAATGAAAATCTCAAATAACACACATACACACACTAAGCTACACACAAACGCACACAGCCGCTCTGTGATGGTAGGTGGTGGTTGGAGGAGCTAGCCACCACCTCACGGTGGTGGTAGTGTCCCTCTTGTTCTTTTTGGTCATGCATCACCCACATATATACTCTTCTATTCGTAGAAGGAGTCCAACGACCCACCTAGTGGCATACGGCAACGATGGTGACATAATAAGGCGGACATTAGCGGTAACAACTTCGTCTTCGGAGGATGCCACCATGGCTGGCTGCCATGGTGGTTCTTCATGGATTTTTACTCGACCGAAAACCCACACAACCGAGCATCTGCATCACAATCCACAAGCGTTGCCAACATCTCGTTAGAACAGTCAGCAACGACAACAACAATGATGCTACGATCGGCGGCGACGATAACAACCATCTCTTCAATGGTTTCGACACAGCGGCGGCGACCACCTACTGTGGAATGGAGTCGAAGATAAGGGTCACTGGAATAGCATTGGCGGTTGGCTTCTATGGGCGGCACTATTTGTCTTCGTTGGTCAAAAACACGGGAGGAAAGGCTTGTGGTGTGACGTTGGAGTTGGGGAAGGAGGGTGGTGACAACTGTCATCTCAATTAGGGTTAGGGTTTTTATGGGTTGTGTTATGAAGATATATATGTAGGCTGAATGAGGGTGACAGGTTTAACCCATGTCCACCATCAAACATGTGCATATTAACATATTTGGTCCCTCCCATAAGAGCCTCATCAAGTTGAGTCTGAAATTTACTCCTTTAGTCCCTATTATTTAAAAATCCTTACAAGTTAAGTCTAAATGATACCAAACACATCCCGACTTTTGAAATCCTTTTCAAAATAAATCCTGAAATTGCACTTTGACCCCCGAAGATTCAACTCCTGTAATTTGGCTTCCCAAAACCAACACCCCGTTAATTATTATTAGATTTTGGACTGTAATAATATAAAATAATAATAAAATTACTTGTCGGGGTCCCGAGTTTATTATTTAATTATTCTATCTTAAACGTGATGTTACACGGTCTTTTATGGATTTTTGGTTTCGTTCTGGAGGTTTTAAGGCATGGGTGTGTTGTTAGAGGCGTATGGCCTCCTGCGACCTTTCTGTGGATATAAAGTTCGTTGGAAAAAGACCTAAGATGAGGAAGTTATGACATTTTGAAGATTTTGGCGGGAATGACCCTTATTGGAAAAGGGTCGCGTTTCAATCCCATGCGTGCATGGTAGAAGGCACGTGCTTGGGTGAGTACGCCAAGCGTAAGCCTGAGGGTACGCCCAGTGTAATGATCAGAGTGTCAAACCCTAATTTTTAGGGTTTGGGCACTATTTAAACATCTTTATGAACCCAAGGCCCTTTCATTCTCAGCCTTCATAGCCTTCTAGCCTCGTTTCAGAAATCCTAATCTCATTTTGAGTGTTTGAGAGATCTAAGTGCTCTTTTTGGTGTGTTCTTGCTTATTTCCAAGAAGAGGATGTTTGGTGCTAGCTTGTGGTTCAAAGGAGGAAGTTTAGATCCAGGCTTTTAGTTTCATTTCCAGCTCACCCAAGGTATAAAGTTCTCATTTTGGCTTCTTTTTGTGCAAGTTTGAGTCTAGGGCAAGATTAAGGGTTTTTATGGTGTATTAATTTCTCCTTGTGAGTTTGAGCCACTCTAGGAGCTTGGATTGATAGATCTTGCCTCTTCTGATGTTTCTAGCTCATAAAAATGCTTAATTGATGTTTAGAAATTGTTCATGCATGTTCTAGTTGGATTATGTTGGGTATTAATGGATTAAGTTTGTTGTTGGGTCCCACTGAGTCATGTAAATTGATAAAGGTGTCGACTTTATGCATTAAGAGCTTATTTTAAAGGATTTTTGAGGTTTGGGTCCCATGGACTTAAATGATTAAGTCATAAATCGAGTTTTGGAGAAATTCCCTGTATGCCACGTGTAAATGTAAGTACGCCATGCGTACTGATTTGAGGCCCCGATTAATATCTTCAAGTATGCTGAGCGTACCTAGGGGTACTCCCCGCGTACGTTCAGCTGTGGACTTTTGGGCTTGTTTACGTTTAGGCTTCGGACTTGGGTTTGGGCTTTGTATGTTGGGCTTTGGTCATAGGAAACTTAGAGTCTTGGACACTTGTTAGGCTTGCCATTTTAGGACCTATGTTTAGGGTTGGGCTTTAGTGGGCCCAATGGGCTTGGGCCATTTGTGGGTCGGATCAGTGAGCCATCTTTAGACTTAATGTTTGGACTTAGTCTTAGATCCTAATCAAGTTTAACTGTGGATTTGGCTTAGTGTTTGGGGTCGGTGTGCAACAGCAGCATTTGTAGGATTTGTTTATCTTCCGAGATGTGTCCTCTCACTATACTTACCTGTGTGGTAATTTATGTGTGATCGGAGGGTCTTATTCGTATTATCGACTAGAGGGTCTTATTTGCTTATATTGAGATATGTGTTATTATACATTCTGCCTTTGTGAATTATGTTGTTATATTATTTCTCTGTATATATTGGGTTATGACCGGAGGGTCCATACTAAGACGTGAGACCGGAGGGTCTTCACTAAGACACATGACTGGAGTGTCCTTATCGAGATTTAGCCATGAGAGGCTAATTATTTGTGTATGTGGTATTTTGGGAAACACACTAAGCTTTGTGCTTACAGTGATGATTTTAATATGTTCAAGGTACACTTAGAGATTCCAGGAAGCCGGATGCATGATTGTACACATTCGTCGGCTTATGATGTCTTGTGGATTATAGGATACTCAGATGTTTTTTTAATAATGATGTATAATTCCGTGATGACTTGGATTTATAAATAATGGTTGGTGAAACAAAAATGAAAATTTGGTTCTAAATTTTGAGGTGTTACAACTTCCACGCGTTATTAGGAAGGAAAACGAGTCGGACATACGACTTAGTCAATGCAAAAATGGCGTGTCATTCCAGCGGTTTGCACCTAATTTAATGGCGTATTTGAAAATCTTAAAAATATGCATAGAAGTGGTAGCAACGATTTCAACATTTTATCAACCGCATTGTATCAATACAAAACTAGATAAGTGCCCCGCTTTGCGGGGCTTGGAAGAAAAGTTAATTTGTATTGGTGAAAAGTTAATTTGTATTGTTGCAAGTACAAAGCATTATTACTATTCTAACTATGTACATATAGTTCAAGACTTGAAGCTTGTTTTAGCCACATAACAAAAGTCCAGGTCTATACATTCATCAAACAAAATATGACATTTCTTTTGTGGTGAAAAATATGGTTTTATTTGGCAGTCATCTTCAAATCCACCCCTTAAGGTTATGTTACATACTATAATACCTCGGGCTGAAACGTAAGCATGTCAGCAGGAGCCATTGCTTCTGGTGTCGTTTGAAATTGGAAGATTTTGTCCCCTATCAATAGCTTGAAAAGTAAAATAAAGAGTGTTTAATTTGATATCAAAAAATAATAAACTAACCTAATTTTAACTATATGACGAAAACACCCTCATCATATATAATCCAATACCTTAGTCATTTTGACTTTAGTAGATTTTGGCACAAATATTTTCCAAAGAGAACCCAAACTTGGTTTTCCAAAAATGCCCTTTTGCTTTTGTCCATGTCTAGTTTCTGAAAACGAATATTAGTTTCTCAAAAACTGTCAGCAGACATTGTAGGTGGAAAGCATTCCTTAATTTTTTCGCTGTACTGTTTTTAATTCAGTGACATAGGTAGGATATCTCTAAATATTTCCATAACTAAATATTACTCCGGAACGCAATTGAATGCAAATAAAAAAAATTAAACATAGTTATCAGCAAGAAATGTCAAAAAATTTGAGGAAAAGATTCCAAACAAACAAATGAGATAGAAATTTTATTTGGCATAGTCATCCTCAAAGCCCAAATTGACTCCCTTTAACTTGAATCTAGAATTTTGTATGATCTCAACCAGATTAGAAGCCACTTCAGTAGTGTGCATTGTTGTTTTCTTCTTTAACTGTAATAAGAAATAGGATTTGGGAATGTGTTATTGTCAGTTTCAGAATCAAATCAATACATATACAAAAAGTTAGCTCACCTCAACGCTTGCAATACCCTCAAGAACTTGGACTTTTAAGTTTGAAATGCCCTCCGTCTCCTAAAAAAAATAAAGGGGTGAACATTTGGATATAAACATCAGAGGTTGGAGACAGATGCCTCAAAGATATACACAAAATTAATTCATGGAAGGGAGATATATTTGTTTGGCGGTAACTATAAAATACTGGATGAAGTTGAAGATAATGTTTGCTGTTATGAATCCAAGATCTTATAAAGATGAGGTTATTACAGATGCTCAACTCGTCTCTATGACTCTATCCATTGTGTTCAATTGCAATTGAATTTCAGTATACTTTTATTCAAAAAAGAAGGTAAACATGTTTGCCATAGTTTTCACTTTGAACTAAAGTTTTGAAAATAGAACATAAAGTCAAGATTTTTCTTACCTTATTAGATTTCGGTTTGAGACCTCCAAAAAGCAACTCGTGATTTTTTTTCCACTGTGAAGCACCTCCTATATAAACAAACTCCATCCATCATTTTTGAATCCCAAATCAGTTTTCTTTTGTCGGCTTAAGTGAATAATTCATAAAGATTATCTAATTAAGTTGGTGTAAGATTACAAAGCTACATACATGAAAATCATCTGGTTACAGAAACTAACCTTTTGATAGTCATGAACAGTACAGTCCAACTGTGTGCCCATAAACCTGCAAGATATATTTTTTTTTTTAAATTTACATGGGATAAATGTGAATAAAACTGTCTATTTATGTTCTACTTGCATATAGAATCAAAGGGAGAAAAATAATGCCCGTTTGTAGAACCAATTTTGGTGGGCTGGCTTCTGGTACACAATGAAGACCAAAACTTGAAGAGTTTTCAACTTTCTAAATTTTGACCAACAAAGTCATTGATTTGGAAAGTAGGTATGTTTTTTACAACTATATTAATCATTAATATCACATATATCATATGTTTATGGTGCGCAATACGTGATAGTGTATAGATAAGACTAACTCGATAAAGTCTCTAATCTCTCTATCACGCTATGACTGCATTAGAAAAGCCAGATGTCAACACATCATTTGTCCACAGGTTCTGTGAATGGTGTTGAGTCAACTAATAACTCAAACAACACAATCAAGTCTTTCATAAATGAACCCAGAAAGGGATTTAGTGGAGATGTTGAGACATACAGAGATGATAGAGGACATATATGGGTTAGCAAGGTGAGAGCTATGGGAATTCGTATGACTCGTGATCTACAAAGGAACTTGGATCTAATAAAAGAGATCGAACATGATAAAGCTAAATCAGTTGGAATGTTTAATGACAGAATTACCCATTGTAAAGAAACAGAATTCCCAAGTAAACTTGTTGAAAAATTGAACGTTTCTAGTCCTTCATATCAGGATCCATTCAACAAAACAAACTTGGAAACTGTCCCAAAAACCCCAAACAAAACCCATTTTCCAAAAAAAAACCTAGTTAACCTTTCAGAAGGGATTAGAGGGATGAGAAGTTGATTTTACTAATTGACCTACTTCTTGGTTTTTCCTGTTCAGACATGGCG